TTGTTGGTCTCCAGTGAGGCCATCCAGGGACTGGGGCTATGCCGACCTGCCAGGCTGAACACAGCCCGAGTCCCCTTGGCCAGGTCGGGCATCGGTCCTGGGAGGGAAGCAGAGTTGAGGCCCTCTGAGGAAACCTCCCAGCTCCTGAGACTCTGCCCCCACACCCGCCCCTGTGTGCCAGCAGGGGTTCGCACCGGTCTCAGCTACGAAGATGATGTTGTCCAGGTCTGGCTCGAAGCCCCGGTTCCTGAAGTACAGGGTGATGTTGAAAGCCTGGCCCCGGCGAACGATGAGGTGGTCAAAGGTGATCTCCTCTGTGTGGTGCCGCATGTTGTTCCGGGAGCTTTGGAAGTCAGTGACGGACAACTCCAGCCCTGCAATGGGGCAGCCGGGGCAGACGAAAGAGCAGGGTTATGGAGCATGGTCCAGTCTTGTCCACCACTTACTAGTTGTGCAAACTCGAGAAAGAAGTTTAGCCTTTCTGAGCCTCAGTTCCCAAGTTGGTAAAATAGAATCCACAATACCAGCCTTACACGGTTGGTAGAAGGATTAAACAAGGCTCCGTACATGTACGTGCCTCCTTTTTACTTCTTTCCTCCCTTCCTTCCCTGCTTCTCTGACCCTCTAAACCAGTGGTTCTCAACCTTCCTAATGCCGCGCCCCTTTAACACAGTTCCTCATGATGTGGTGACCCCCAACCATAAAATTATTTTCGTTGCTACTTCATAACTGTAATTTTGCTACTGTTATGAATTGTAATGTAAATATCTGATATGCAGGATGTATTTTCATTGTTCGCCACCCACAGCCTTCCTCCCTTACTCTCCTAGAGGGACATGGTTTTCTCTCTCGGTCCAACTCCTGTAGGACTGGCCAAGTATGTCTGTGCCCTTTAGCCTAGCATGTCCTCAGATTTACGCCAGCATCCACTTTCTTGAACAAAAGTTGAGTTTCACTTTCCCCTGTACCAGCATCCAAATCTGGGAGAAAGTCCCTGCGTGAGCCGCTGTGCAATTCACTGGCCTTCTGACTACACTAACGCATGTGCCCAGTGCTTGGGGAGGTGTGATGCTGAGGTCAGCAAGGAAAGGCCCACTCCCAGCCTCCCAGAGTTTCTGCTAAGATGCAGACTGACCTCAGTGTCCTCCAAGTGTACCTCCCGCAGAAGGGATGCTTTTCTAACTTCACCTTTGAACATGGTCACCGCATGGTTCCCACAGTTGGCTCATCCATCTCCTTCTCAGTCTGTATCCATTTATGTGTCATAGGTCCCTTCACGCTTTCCTTGAAAATGTCTGTGGTGTCCATCTGTCCCTTTCCACATTAACATAATTCCAACCGCCTCACCTCACTCCTAGTGACATGAACAGTCTCCATCAGGTCTTTTGCTTTCCGTCTCTCCACATCACCCACCCCTTAACACATCACCAGAATACCTCTCCTCCAGACAACTTGATCATTCCGTTCTTTTGCTTTAAATGCTCTGAAATACCCAACAGCCCACTGTACAAAATGCACACTCCTTAACCTGGCACTAACGATCCTCCATACCTGGTCTTCACTTACACTTGCATTCTTACTTCTCACCACTCTCACCACTCTGTCCGTCTGATCCGTCTTCAAGCAAATGGTAGCCTTCCTGTCTATGTATTTTGCTGCTGCTATAGCCCCAACTCAGAATGCCCCTTCACTATCTAACCAAAGTCCACTTTTCCTCCAGCACCTGTTCAAGACCCACCTTCTTCATAGAGCTTGTCTCCTTTGGCCTACCCTTCTTCCCATCTTCACTTGATCTACAGCATGTAACTGTATCACTCACAGGGAACCTTAACTGCTTAATGGACAAGTTAATATGCTCTCTTGTTCATTCACATCAACAAACTTTTACTGAGAGTCTATTAGATTTAGGCTCATTATGAGATGTTCAGATATTTTTGCAGTTACTTTTTGGTCTGTTTTCCACCACTAGATGTAAATCAATGGGGATAGAGACCTAGCTGTGTTGTCTCATCTGTATTTAGATTTTAAGAAATATGAACCAAAACATTTGACAAAATCCAACATTCTTCCATAATGAAAATACTCAACAAATTAAGACTAGAAGAAACTTCCTCAACCTGGTAAAGGTAATCTATGAAAAATCCACAGCTAACATTATACTTAGTAGTGAAAGATTAGCTGCTTTCCCCCTAAGATAAGGAACAAGACAAGAATGTCCACTCTCACCGCATCTATTCACCTGGATGACTATAACAAGAAAGAGAGAAAGCAACAAGTGTTGGTGAGGATGTAGAGAAATTGGAACCCTCATATATTGCTGGTGAGATTGTAAAATGATGTGGCCATTTTGGAAGCAGTCCAGCAGTTCCTCAAAATGTTAAACATAGTTACCATATGACCCAGCAGTTCCACTCCTAGAGATTCCACTCCTATACCCAAGAGATTGAAAACATATGTTCACAGAAATTTGTACATTAATGTTGATAGCAGCATTATTTATAACAACCTGAATGTTCATCACCTGATTAATTAATGAAAGTGGTATATCGATACACGGGAATATTATTCAACCATAAAAAGAAATGCTGAATATATTATAGCATGGATGAAAGTTGAAAACATTATGCAGAATGAAAGAAGCCAAACACAAAGGCCACATATTATATGATTCCATTAATATAAAATATGAAGACTAGGGAATTCATAAAAGCAGAAAGTAGAATAGAGTTTAGCAAGGGCTGGGATGAAGAGGATATGGAGCATGACTGCTAATGAGCATGAGTTTCTTATAAAAGAAGTATAAGCACAATTTTCAGCACATTGTAGGTATTAAAAAATGTTTGCTATGATGAGTAAAGTTCTCTGTCTTTTGTATAATCACCCTGTACTTATTTCAAATTTCAGATTCAATGAACACGTTATTGAGGGCTTGATAGGCACTGTGATAGGCATTGTCCTGGGTACCTCAAGACAGTTTTCTCATTGTATCCTCCCCACAACAGTAGAGGCATGAAATGTCATGTCATCCACACTTGGCATAGAGAAAACCAAGGTTTAGGCAAATTAAATGTCTTGCCCAAAGTTAAACTTAAGGTTACTTGCTCAAGTCCTGTGCTATTTCCATTACCCAATAGCTACCGCCCATTTCCAGCCTTCACTCATGTTCAGAAAGGACACCCAACCCACTGCCAGTTGGGAAAGCACTTGACTTTTCCCCAGTGGTGGAATTAGAAGCTCATTCTTTTTGGAGACCAGTTGACTAGACAGAGCTTGCTAACTGGTCCTGATTCAGCTTAGGCACATGACCCAGACTACTCAACAGGAGTGGTAGCATCTGCCTGACAGTGAGCAGTGGGGACAAAGCTCATCCTCTGGATGCATTCTGGGTCCAGTTAACATCTACCTGTAACATAGGGATTGTTCTTCAGCCCAGACACTAGATGTTCAAGCAGGAGGTACATTTAACATTGGACATATTTGTTCTTTTTATGCAAGGAGAATGTGGTGAAGTGACCAATAAAATAGAAATAAAACGATAGGAACAACTTTTAAAGTAATTGGTCTCAGTGTCTAGCTAAAGAGATACTCCCACACAAGCACAAAGAGGCATAGAAAGAATTTCCATTGCATCATTGCTTATATAACTAAAAATAGGGAAGCAACCTGAATGCTCACAATAGGGGACTGGGTAAATAAATTACTTACACCCATAATATGAAATACTATGCAATGTAGAACATAGTGAAAATCTGTAGGTACTGAGTGGCATGGATAGAGCCCGAAGGCATACTGTTGAACAACAACAACAACAAAAAGTCAAGCTGTAGAAAAATACGTACAATATGATTAGACCAAAGATATACAAAAAAAGAAGCCACACATACTAATATTACATTGAGCATGTATATATGAATATAAATGTATAGACAAAAGACTGGTAACAGTGGTTTCTCTGGAGATGAGGCTGGGGTTGGGGGTGGGGTAAAGGGACTGACTATAGCTTCACCTGTAATTATTGCTTTATTTTATTCCAACTCTGTATTAGTATATTTCTTGTGAAATTAAAAATTTAAAAATAAAAATTTAACACAAAACAGTAAACGAAGGTAAGTCTGTTACATTTATAGAACTTTATAGCTTATTCTTATGATTTCAACTAACCATTTAATCTTCATAGCAGCTCTTTCTAGAGAGCGGGAATTGATATAGATAGAAGGGTGGTGGTGAGATTAGCTAAGATGAGGAAGAGACCTGAAGTAGGGGAAGAAGTGAAGATATGAAATTCAGAGACTTCTAGAGATGGAAGATAATGTCAAGATTGTCTCGTCCAACCCCCCTTGTTCTTTCAGGCATGGGGGCTGGGAACTGGAGAAGTGACTTGCTCAATGTCAAAGGGTCAGCTGGTGGAAAAAGAACAGAAACCATGACCCCCTGATTCCTGATCCTGCCCTGTCCTACTGGGCTATAGAAGCCAGCATGTTGGCTTGGCTGTGTTTACCTGCTGGCATCTCCTGTCTCCTGGTTCTTGGGTTACCAACTCTGAGGTTCCTGGAGTTTCTACTCCTTCTGCCTCTGTTCTTTATTTGCTCCCTTCTTCCTATGAATGCACCCTCACTTGACTTCCTACAGTCTCTCTGTCTTTCTTGCCCCTGACCTCCAGCAGCCCCACAGGCCTGCCCTACCTTGTGCCATGGTGGCTGCCTTCAGTGCTCGGGCTGCTCCCCACGGAACAGCAGGATGGCCCGGTGCTTCAGGAAACTGGTCTTGGAGTGTCTGCTTCACCTTCCATCCCTGAGATGCCAGGAGACACTGGAGGCGGGGCTGGCTGCTGCACTGCCACCTGCTTACTGGGCAGATCACAACTGGTTTTCTCACTTGCCCTCAGGTTTTTCTTGGCAAAGTTGCTCTGCTAAGATGAAGTGCAATGGCCAATGAACTGTCAGGGCCTTGTGCTATATAGGCCTTTGACAGCTCTTGGGCAATGGGGTATTCTTTGGTAGGTGCTGTACTGGGAGGGAAGGAGCCAGGTAAGCTGATGCGGGAGTAGTAAGCTGATGCGGCTTCCAGGGCGATGGAGAGAGGCTGCACTCCTGCAAGAAGGAGCACCAGGGCCACAAGACTACAGCTCACAACTGAGACCCAAGCCTAGGACTCTGCTTGCACCTGAGCCCTCTTTTTTATTCTGAAGTCACTTCCTGGACATCAGTGCCATAGAGCCCCCTCTGGATCACTTTAGTATGACTTTTTTGATATTTATTTTTTGTCAGAGGTATTGTCATGGGTAAGATCTGCCAAGTTCCAGGTGACTCCTGAATAAAAGCAGTAGAGGAAGAAAACTTGGGAAGATTCGTGGAAGAGTTTTGGAAATAGATGAGAGAGTGGGAACGCCAGTGAGTGATCTAGTAAGATTCTAGTAAGAAAAGTGCAAGTCCTTGGACTGAATGTGTAAGGGAGAAAAGAACTGATGGGAGAAGAGAGACACAAAGGGGGAGGGTTCTTCATAGGCAGTTGGTTGGACTGCCTGAAGAACGACCCCCCTCCCTTTCCCCTTCCTTCCCTCCTGTGGGACACTTCTCCCTGTGCACCCCTGCTTTCTAGGTTCCTTGTCTGCTTTTCTCAGGAACCTCAGTCACCAGCTCCCATCTCTCCTCCTGTATTTCCAACTCTCTCTATCCCCAGTCAGTATTTAAAGTGTATTTACTAGTATACATGTGTATATAGAATTCACTAACACACCGTCACCCACTTTCTATCCAAAGTGGAACTCCTGCCCGGCCGGTGTTGCTCAGTGGTTGAGCATGAACCCATGCACCAAGAGGTCACTGGTTTGATTCCTTGTCAGGGCACATGCCTGGGTTTTGGGCTTCATCCCCAGTAGGGGGCATGTAGGAGGCACTTGATCGATGTTGATCTCTCTCTCTCTCTCTCTCTCTCTCTCCCCTCCCCTTCCTTTCTGTCTAAAATCAATATTTTAAAAAAAAGTGGAACTCCATCCCTCTTCCTTTCCTTCTGCATCCCTGGTCTTGGTGAGTGAGGACAGTGCCCACCCAGTCACTCTGGGAGAAACTGGTACCACCTTATTCTTCTCCAACTTCCTGACTTCCCTTAGCCATCAGTCACTGAGCCTGTCCAGTCCAACTCCTGATTATTTCCTAAAACTGGCCCTTCTCCGTGCCCTTGGTCTTGCCTTCCCTGAAGCCTCCACTTGCCTAGACAGCAGCTCCTAACGAGCCTCCCTCCTATCCTTTTTCCAAATGAATTGCCAACGTGATTTTTCTGAAGTGCCAATTCAACCAGGTTGCTCAAGATACAACAGTTGGGTAAAGTCCAAACTTGTCAACATCGCCCCCAGAGCCCTTCAGGATCTTTCCCTCCCAGCCTGGAATCCAGGCAGGCAAACCCCTTCAGTTACCCCACGGAGACCTGCTCTCCTGCACCTCCAAGTTCTTGAATGAGTTGGTCTCTTTCTGAAATGTTCTCCTCTCACTTGTCTACTTTCTTGTATCCAGGCTCAAGCATTGCCCTGGGGAAGTCTTCCTGACTCTCTCTTCCACACCAGGCTTTCAGGAGCACCCCCTTTTGTGTTCTCAATTAGCCTAGTCATACTCCACATTATAAATACTTACCTATCTTTCCTTTTTAAGGGCATAGCCTGTGTCTAACTAGTATATCCTCAGTGCTTAATAATGACAGTGGTTAACAAGAAAACTACTAGAAGAACTAGTAATAGCTTTCACATTCCAGATGCTGTTTTAGTTCTTTTTTCTTTTTCTCTTTTTAGAGAACCAGGATAACGTGAATATAAAATTGAGCCCCTTTATTTGGACTTTATAACAAGGGAAACTTAGTAATAATTAAATAATTAGGGGTGTAGTTATAATTAGGGATATAGGCTTCCTAAATGAACCAGTATGCACGCTTTATTTAATGACTCAATAAAAAATTGTGTGTCCTTGAGCCTTCATTATTTAAAACTCTGATTTATCTAAGGCTACACAGTGTTCATTATCCAGCAAGGGCATCATGTCTTGGGGTCCACCAATGGAGGAGCCACCATTGTTGGGATTTGCTGGCTGTTTATTGAGGCCGTTAATGAGACCATGCAGGGTGAACATGTTTGTTTTAGTTCTTTATGTGCATTATCCCACCTAATATTCACGCCATCCCCATGAGCTGGGTACTATTATTATTCCTATGTTACAGATGAGGAAATCAAGACTTAAAGACATTAAATAGTTTCCCCAACATCACTCACTAAGAACTGGTGGAGCTAGATTTGGACACAGTCAGACTCCAGAGTCCTGTGTAAGAACCTTGCAGTACCTGAAGCATGGCTGGTTTTCTAGTTCCTATCTGCTAACTGATGGAATAAATTAATTAAAAGATGATCCATGAATGAATGAATAGGTAAAGGCATGAACCCATTGTCACACTAGCTGAGATGGGAAGGAGAAATGGACATGGAAGCACAACCAATGGACACAGACACCAGGGTGGTGAGGGCATGAGCGGGGGTGGGGCAATGGAGGGATAAGGACACATATGTAATACCTTAATCAATAAAGAAAGAAAGAAAAAAAGAAATGGACATGGGCAGGTAAGATTAATTGTGAGGGGAGGTAGGAAGTGAGTGCAGCTAGGCTGGGCAGGTCTGGAGAGGTGGGGGTAGCAGAGAGAAAAATGCCCAATGGCTACCCAGCAACAACCTATTTCATGGCTGGGGCTAATGAGCGACTTATAGATGCAGCCTATCATTTGATTCCTACAGGTCATTTGTGGGAGAGAGTGTGCTAGGGGAGGGGGCAGCTCTGATCAGAGCAGCTGGTCTCTGGGTTGAGTCAGGGAGGCAGAGGAGAGTCAGGAAGCCGAGTGGAGTTGGTGAGAACCTTTCCATCTGGACAGAGACAAGGCTGTGGCTGCAGGGAAGGGCCACAGAGCAGATCCTGGGACACTCACTTGGGAGGTGCGGAGGCACCGGCCATCCCTCCGGGCAGCCCAGCTCTAGCAAGGTGGGGGTGGGGGCCCCCCAGACCTTATAAGACTCAGAGAGACTAGGACCCTAGTCCTGGTCCTGCCATGAATTCCCATTATGGCCTTAGACAAGTTCTAGCCTCCTTGTCTGTAGATTCAGGGTCCTTGGCTCCGTAGTGCCCAGGTCTGAGGAGAAGGCAGAGAGCTCCCCACAGACAGTTGCGAAGGGAAGCCAGAATTGGAAGATCCAGGTGGGATCCTTTTCCTCCTTCCTCTTCCCACCCCCAGACATGGAGGCAGTGACCCAGGGGAGGTGATTAAACTCATCAGAGGGCCTCTGCGTATGATACCAAGATCTTTAGAACACACTTTCTCATTGGATCCTCACTGCAACCCTCTGAGGGAAGGAAGGCCTGGCACTGTTTTATTGTGGCTATCATCTTGCAACTGAGGGAGCCAGGGTCACACCACGACAGAGCCCAGACTCTGTCCAGAGCTCTCTCCTTTGTAGCACACAATGCACTGAATAGCAGGGACTCCAAAACTACCAGCCCAAAGGATATGAGGACAAAGTCTCTGTGACCGCCACAGCAGGCGGAAAGACCAGCAACCACTTGACCAGGGTGCTGCTGGCCTGGTTTGTGCCTCCTGCTCCTGAAAATTTCTTTTGCCATGTCTGCCTAACCCCTGGTCACTGACAATAGGGCGGTGAAGGACTGCGGTGGGGCCTGGGGGCGGGGCTAGAAGAAGTCAATGTGGGGCAAAGGAGACATATGTAATACTTCCAACAATAAAAACTAAAAAAAAATTTTTTTTCTTTTGCCAGAGTTTATCTGTGGGCACAACTGCCTGGTCGGATGACCCCCGCGGTTCGCTGTGAGGTGAGGGGAGGGCCAGGACAGGAAACAGAGCTGCGCAGGCCTAATCTCAGGGCTCTCTCCAGCAGTGGTGGGGACCCCGGCATCCTGGGCCCTGGGATGGCGGAGCTATCAGGGAGCTTTGAGACTGTCCAACCGGCTCATCTAACCGAAGTTCTAACCGAAGTGAGGAAATGAGGCCAGTCGGTCTTGCCTACATAAAGGAAGAAAACACAAAGGGTACATTTTTTAAAAGCCAATTTTTAGTTGGGGAGAGAGGAAATATTTGAAAGATCAACCACGAAGGCAGAGATAGCTAATATCCCCATACCCCTGGGAGGCCCAGGAGAAAGCCTGCCCACTGATCCCCTCCAGTGACACAAGTCCCTGCATCTCCAGGCAGGAGGGGCAGCGACTAAGCGAAGGAGGACCTACCACCCTGTAAAGGGAGCAAGTTTCCAATTTCCGTAGGAGCCAGTGCAGGCTCCCGGTCTCCTGTGGGCAGCAGGGAGCCACGTGGCAGAGCAGTGACAGAGCCCCATAGAAATGGCCTCGGCACTTACTGGGGACAGGTGCAGCTGCACACAGGTGGAGTGTGGGTGTGCAGGCTCCTGCCCTTCCTGCCCAAAGCAGCCGGCAAAAGCAAAAGGAATACAAAACAAGGGAGGAGGAGGAGGGGATGAGGGGAGGAGGGTGGAGAGGAGCCGAGCGAACCTGCAGACTCACAGAGCAGGTGAGGAGCGGAGGAAGAAGCCATGCCTGAGCATCCGCGGCAGGATGTGCTCCCTCTCGGGCCTTCTGGATGGCCTCAATTTTCCGTGATGGAGAGGCGTCAATTAGTGATGATAACAATTTTTTATTGAGTCATAATTGACACATAACCTTGTGTAAATTTTAGGTATACAACATGTTATCTGAAACACTAATATATTGCAATATGATTATCACCATTACACCTCCATCATATCATGTAATATTTCTTTTTTTGTGGGAGAACATTTAAGATCGGAAGTATATAATACAGTATTGTTAACGATGATCACAAAGCTGTACATTAGATCTCGAGAACTTATCCTTCTAACTAGAAGGTTATGTCCTTTGACCAACATCTCCCAATTCCTCCCATTCCCAGTCCCTGGTAACCATCACACTGTTTCTAACAGCTCAGCTTTTATAGATTCCCCATACAGGAATACCTCATTGTACTGTGCTTTGTTTTATTGAACGTCACAGATGGACCATTTTGCAAATTGAAGGCAAGATTCTCCACCAGCAAAGAGATTGCCACTTGCTTTATTGCAGTAGTCTGGAACCAACCCGAAATATCCCCAAGGTATGTCTGTGTAAGTGAGATCATGCCGTGTTTGTCTTTCCCCATTTGACTTCTCTCCACTTAGCATAATGCCCTCAAGGGCCATCGATGTTGTAGCAAGTGGCAGGATTCCCTTGTTTCTCCTGGCTGCACAATATTCCATTGTGTATGTACCACCTCTTCTTTGTCCATTAGTCTAATGACACTTACATTGTTTGCATATCTTGTCTATTGTCAGTGAACATGGCAGTTCAGGTATTTCTTTGAGATAGTGGTTTCATTTCCTTCGGATATATAACCAGAAGTGGAATTGCTGGATCATATAGTAGTTCTATTTTTAACTCCTGAGGAAACTCTGTACTATTTTCTATGATGGCTGGACAAATATATATTCTCAACAACAGTGCACAAGGGTTCCCTTTCCCACATCCTCACCGACCTTTGTTATCTCTTGTCTTTTGTTTGTTTGTTTTGTTTTGTTTTTTAATCCCCACCCAAAAATATTTTTCCATTGAATTTTAGAGAGAGTGGAAGAGAGAGGGAAAGACAAAGCGAAACATCGATGTGAGGGAGGTACATCGATTGGTTGCCTCCTGCTCGAGCACCGACCAGGACCTGAGTGGGGAGGAGCCTGCAATTGAGGTACATGCCCTTGACCAGAATCGAACCCGGGGCCCTTTGGTCCACAGGCCGAAGCTCTATCCACTGAGCCAAACTGGCTAAGGTTCTCTTGTGGGTTTTTATTTTCTTTATGATAGCCATGTAATGATAACTTAAAAAACAACAACACAATGACACACAAGAATAAACTCAAAATGGCTAAAAGACATCAAAGTAAGTCACAAAACCATAAAAATCCCCGAAGAAAAAACATAAGCAGTAAAATCTAGACATCTCACATAGCAGTATTTTCACCGATACATCTCCTAGACCAGTGATGGCGAATCTATGACACATGTGTCAGAGGTGAGACGTGAACTCATTTTTTTGGTTGATTTTTCTTTGTTAAATGGCATTTAAATATATAAAATAAATATCAAAAATATAAATTTTTGTTTTACTATGGTTGCAAATATCAAAAAATTTCTATATGTGACACGGCACCAGAGTTAAGTTAGGGTTTTTCAAAATGCTGACACGCCAACCTCAAAAGGTTCGCCATCACTGTCCTAGACTCCAGCACCTAGAGCAAGAGAAGTGAAGGAACAAATAAACAAAGGGGACTACATCAAAATAAAAAGCTTCTGCAGAGCCAAAGAAACCATCAACGAAATGAAAAGGAAGCCCACTGTATGGGAGAACATTTTCACCAATGATACGGTAACCAACAGGGTTGAATCATTATGAACGTTTATTCCAATACTGCTGGCAATATAGGAGAGCAGCAGCCATCCACAAAAATCTGCTCTGCACCCCACCATAGCTGGCTGCCTATATTGGTAGAAGTACAGCCCAACCTCAAAAGGTTCGCCATCACTGTCCTAGACTCCAGGACCTAGAGCAAGAGAAGTGAAGGAACAAATAAACAAAGGAGACTACATCAAAATAAAAAGCTTCTGCAGAGCCAAAGAAACCATCAACAAAATGAAAAGGAAGCCCACTGTATGGGAGAACATTTTCACCAATGATACGGTAACCAACAGGGTTGAATCATTATGAACGTTTATTCCAATACTGCTGGCAATATAGGAGAGCAGCAGCTCATCCACAAAAATCTGCTCTGCACCCCACCATAGCTGGCTGCCTATATTGGTAGAAGTACAGAGGAAAGTAGGCAAAGGGCAAATGGGCAGTTTACAGATATGCAAAAGGGCTGGAGTCCTCAAGGGCTGGCGATTCTGGTTTCTGGCTCCAGTTTCTGCAACAAAATTTTTAATCTTTCCAAGATAATAGGCAACTCCAAAAGGGGAAGAAGGGAGCTTCCAGGTGAGCTCCCAGGTCCTGAGTGCAGCTGCCAGCCAGGTTAGAATGTGCCTTCTTTAATCAGAACAAAACAATCACGGTTAACAGCCTGATTAATATTTCTTACAATTCTAGCTGGTTCCCCTGAAGCATGGTGGCAACCATGCTTGGTGGGAATTGCTGTTTAAAATTTTAACCCTGCTGACTTGGCTTTGTACTTATTTGCTTGCTGAAACAATAGAAACGTTACTTTGATTTTCTGAACTTATGTATGCTACCCCAATCGATTGAATACTCCATTGTTGGAGGTTTGAATATCCCATTGATTGTGATCTTACTGGTTTTCGAAGCACATTCTTCTGTACCTGGAAACCAGGACAGCACAATTACCCTAAGTTGCCTCAGTGGCTACAGATAATGCATTCCGGTTGACTCAGTGGTCCCAAGACCAGGACAGCACAATTATTCTAAATTGCCTCAGCAGCTCCAGATAATGTGTTTCCGTTGATTCAGTGGTCTGAAGACCCAAAACCATAATTAATCTTTATAGATAACTAAATTGCTCAATTTCTGTTGATTCGGTGGTCTGAAGACCCAAACTATAATTAATCTTCATAGATAACTAACTTGCTTTGTGCAAACCAGATTCCTCATTCCAACCCCAAAGATGTAATCGATACCTTTGTAATACTTGCCTATATAATAAGCCTGATGCTGCCACCATTTTGGGACTGGGAGATTTGGAGCCATAACTTCCTCTCAGTCACTGGCTTATTAAATGACTCATTAATTTGGTCTTGCAGGGTACAACATCCCAACATTCTATTTTTGCCCCTATCAATTCATCTGGTAAAGGGTTAATTTCCAAAATGTATAAAGAACTCATACAACTCAACCCCAGGAAGACAAACAATACAGTTAAAAAATGGGCAAATTTTTAACACTGAATAGACACTTAACAGATGGGCAATACACATATGAAAAAATGCTCACTGATCATCAGAGAGTGTTGTGGTCCAACCCCAGCAGGTCCAGGGGTCCCCAAAGGTGTGGACAGAGTCGGCGAAGAAAGAATGACACGGAGACAGCGTTCAGTTGATCAGCAGCCTAGCCAGGATCTCTAGCCAAGTTCTAGTCAGGATCTCCAGCGAAGTTCTGGTTAGGATCTCCAGCCAGGTTCTCCAGGTTCTCCAGCCAGGTTCTGTAGCCATGTTCC